GCAGCTGCAGGGCCTGGATCTGGGCCCATGCTCGCAGACGCCCCCTCTCCCGGGGCCGAAACAGCACCCTGGGTGGGGCCCATGCACGGCAGTGAGTAGACGCCCGTGGGTGAGTGCCAGGGAAGAGTACGTGTTTGTGTTTTCTGGGTGGAATCGCAAGAAAATGTCAACAGCTGTTTCCTCTGGGGAGAGGAGTGGGGGCAGGAAAAGAGGGGTGGCCCTCGCTTCCTTTTATGCTGAAGTCTTTAAAACAGGCTCTGGCATCTCCCCTCCCCCATCAACGTGGCGGTGAGGACAGGCTGTCTGTCATCCTACCTGGCAGAGTACACAGCAGCCGTCAGGACCGTCTCACCCCCGCCCGCATGCCTGTCTGCCCACTGTCGACACCGAGACCACCAGCAGCACGGTCGCTCGGAGGTCCTGTCCCTGCAGTCGTGCTGTGCTCACGACACTGATGTGCTGGGACGCAGGGCCGGCCATCTTGCAGAGTGGCCCGAGGTCTGGATTTGTCCACCTGCTGCCTCAGTCCTCGCCCTGTTCTTCTGTGAACTGGAATCAGATGTGGAGTCTGCATTGAAATCCAGTTGGCGGGGGTTGCCAGGGCCATCAGGTGGTGGGCGACGGGCAGGGCTTGGCCACGTCCCCCCTCCGCTATGAAGTCTCACGTCCCCCCCTCGTCCTGAAGGTCACCCGGCTGTGGTGGTCCTTCAGGCGCTTCACATCTTGCAGCTCTTTGGCTTTTCCACAATGTATTTATGGTTTTTTTCTCTTTCAGTGTTAACCTGGGGTGATTTGAGCTTATTTTCGCCTAATTTGCCTCGCTTGACTAAAAGCAGTCTTTCCTCTTCTGCCTGTGAGCTGGGAGAGGGAGGGCCCTGGAACGTCTCCCTGGGGAACGGGCTCAAAAGCCTCCACTCTGTGTGGGAGTGTCCTTGGTGGCCGAGGGTCATCGGTGACTCGGAAACGGCTGGTGGAACACAGGAGGTTGTCGCCACATTGAGGAAGACCCAGTAAGCACTTCGCTGCAGTTCAGTAACAAGGAAGGAACCTAGCTGGACCGGGGAGCTAGTCACTGGGGGGCAGAAGCTGCCCCTGGGCTCAGTGCCGGCTCCCCAGCCCCTCCTTCAGAGATCGGCAGAAAGAGGAGGGTGGAGGCCCCGGCCGCCAGAGCCACGGTCCTCTGCCCATGGAGGTCCGGGGCCAGAGCGCGTACCAGTCCCTGGTTTCTGCCGTGCAAGATGGAGGGGGCCGTCTGGTGGCTGTGGACAGAGTGGAGAGCAGTGACCTGGGCAAGGCCTGGCCCCCAGGTTGGGGGGCTGCTGTGTCTTGGGTCCTCCTGACCCTCCCTCCCTCCCCCACACTTCATAGACGTGGAAGCAGAAGCCCAGAGAGGTGGCCATTCGTGTGCGGTCCCCCTGCTGCTATAGGGTGGGGACGGGACGGGAGCCCCAGCATCCCCGTCAGCTGTCGGGCACGGGGTTGTTAGGGTGGTGGCAGTGCTTGGATCCAGATGGGGTCTTCTTGGAGCCCCGCTGCCTGGCGACCTTGCGTTCTTGCTAGGTTGTCAGACGTGCTTCGTGTACCCCGGCGACAGCCTGCGTGCTAGGGCTTTACGAGAAGTCCCCGTGCAGAGCCGCCTCTGGGCCAGCTGGGTCTGCAGAGTCTGTGCCCTGCACTCGGCGTCCGTGACTGCAGACACCGCTTACGTGCTTTCTAGGAACACTGCAAAACGTAGCCAGCGAGAAGAAGCAATTTCCTGTTTTTCTATTACCTTGTCTGCTTTGCTTTCTTCTTTTGAAATTCCCCGACCTTGCCCATCTGAAGTGCCTTTGTTTTAGGGGCGCGTTTGGGGACCCGTGTGGGTCAGCCGGTCCCTGGAGCAGGCGAGCAAGGTGAGGTCGGGAGGCCCTGCAGGAGACGCCAGCGGTGTTTCTGGTTCTCGTCTTAGCCTGTATTTTGCGGGAGCTGTTGGGCTTGTGTAGGCTCCCTGTTCAACCTCCCCTGCCGAGCTTTCTCAGCCAGGGTAGCAGACTGGACAGGGTGAACGGGGGGCCCACTGAGCAGGTGAAGGCTTCGTGCTTCTCCCCACGGGCCCGTCTCAGCTGCAGGAGAAGGGTGGTGACACGCTTGCTCGTGGAGTGATTTGCTTGTGCGCATGGTGCCGGTCTTCCCTCGAGAGGGTGCTGGGTCAGAAAGCAGCCTGAGACCCGAGAGCGGCCAGCCCCTTGAACCCCTGCTTCTTCCACTGTCCCCATGAGTTGTGGACCCTCAGACCCTCAGATCGTCAGAGTGGGGCGAGGGCCAGGTTCCAGGGGTCAGAAGGGCCCATTCAGGCCCCTCTCACCACCACCTCTGTGTCCACTGTCCTGTCCTCGGGCACAAGAGACCCTTTGTGGAGACGAGATGCTGTCACTAAGGCAGGAACGTCTCCGCCGGATGCCTCCCTCGCAGCTGAGACCGCCGTGTGCAGCTCAGCTGACGCTGTGGGCTGGTGGCTGTGAATTCTTCCAACTGCGTGACTGAGAGCCGTGCCTCCTCTTATGAAAACCACAGCGTTTAGGGGAATACCCTTTGTCTAATTTCCCTACTGATGTGGTGAGCTATTTCCGAGTGTGCCGGCCACACGTTATTCCAGCAGCGTTATTCCAGCAGCTGTGTGGGGTGCAGACGTGCACGTTTGCATTTGAAGCTGGGCTGGCCTCGCAGCTGTGCTGAGAGGCTCGGGGGACAGGGGGGCCTCACGTCTCTGGCAGGCCCTGCGCAGAGCCCGGCCCATTCATCCGGGTCCCACCGTTAGGCCAGTTTCGGCTTTCCCCGCCAAGACGGGGCTCTCTGTTCAGGGGGCTTTTCGGGGTGTGGAATGGGGTCTGAGGTCTTCTCCTGTCTTCACTCCTGGTTTCCATCTGGGAGTAAATGAAGGGCGTCGGATGCGCCATGCTTGCTGTAAGCTGAGGCTTTTGGGAAGCAGCCTCAGAGACTCTTACCAGGAAGGAGGCTGGGAACGGGCGGCCGAGTGGCTGTGACCTGGACGGGAGAGCCACGTGCGCCACAGGAGTCCCCCCACACTGTCCCCCACGACTGGCCAGCTTCCTTTGTTCCCACCAGTCTGGGTGGTGATGTTGCTTCTAGAGCACGAGGAAGCCAGAGCTGCCGCCTGTGACGGGCAGAGGTGAAGTTTGGAAACAAACCAACCAAAAATGTGCTTTTGTTTTGGTATATTGTTAAGAAATAAAATTATTAAGGTAGATTTGAGGACATTCTGTTACCATCTAGCTTTATTTCTTAAGAAATGCTTTGGAAACTCTAATTGGGGCGATGCAATTTGATTTTCTGGGATTTGACTTGATTTTATTTAGAAAAATACGTTGGTGTTTTTTGGATAACTGCAGCATTTTGCTGTTTGCTGCTCACTAGCTTAGAGTAGACATGAGGCAATTGGTTGCTGGCTTTTTTTTTAATGTTTCTCTTGGTTGACAGTAAATCACAGTGGACACACTGTGCTTCAGGCCATGTGATTGTCCCAGATGAAATCTCGCTGCCGTGTGTTGTACGTGTCTTTCCTAAATTGTAGGACAGAGTGGTGCCGATTACAGCCCCCGCCCTGCACTGCCCCTGCAGCCTCGCCTGTTCTCCTGTGGGTTTTTCCAGGACCCTAACTGCATCTCGCCTCTTCTCCCGTTTTGCTCACTGTAGCCAGAGCCCAGCCGTCTAGAAACCTCAGTCTCAGGCATCATTCCCCACCGTTTACTCTCTCCCAAAGAGGCAGATCCTAAGGGGCAAGCGTAGGTTGGAGATTTGGGCAGAGGTAGCATTTGCGTGAGTGCTGGGGGCTGGGTCTGCTGGAAGGGATGTAATGGAAGAGGGCGGCAGACGAATATACAGCCAGAGCGTCTTTAACAACTGCCCCTCGGCCATGCAGTGGGATCCTCCATCTGCCTGTCCCTCCATCTGCCCATTTATCCACGCAGTGGGCGTTTGCCAGCTGCTTTGTCAGACTTTGCGGATGGACGTGATGGTGGGAAGACGAGCCTGGGCCCTTCCCTAGGAGCACCTTCTGACATGACCCACCAAACTGCAGAATAGGGGTGCTGGGAGAGAGGGAGTGCTGACCCAGCCCTGGCGGGAGGCCGGCCCCGGAGAACCAGAGGGAGGACAGGGCAGGGGCACCCGAGGCGGTGGCTCCACAGCTCTCCGGGTGGCAGGGCTCGCGCTGAGATTTCCTGTCCTGGGGGGCAGCGGGCAGGGGTGGCGCACTCTTGGGCTGCTGCTCCCGAAGCTTCATGTCTGGTTTCTGCGGGCGCCCAGGCTCCCTGGCGCAGGAAGCGTGATGGTGCGTAAGCCCAGCGTTCTCCACATGTGGGGCCCAGCCTGGCCACAGTGGGGTTGTGCGAAGACCCCTTTCTTTGGGAACCAGCTGGGAATTCACATCTCATCCCTTCATCAGAACTGCTTCGTCAAGGCGGGTGCTGCTTCAGATGTTTAAGCTAGATAAGTACTTAAGCAAACAATGGCTGCGTATGTTTTTTTTTTTCAAGTCAACATGCAGTTTTACTTAAAAAACAAAAATTTTCAGGGTTACTGCAGACATGTTTGGTCTTCATTTTCCATGTCCTTAGGACCGGGAGATACGGTGACGTTCTTACACATGCGAGGGGGGTTCTTGAGAGGAGCGAGTCCACAGAGGCCATGTCCTTCTTTGAATGATCTTTGACCCAGCTTTTCAAGAACTGTGCTCTCGACGTTGTAAAAACTCAGCCCCTCTCCTTGAAGCCGTGCAGTGGAGATAGGCTCTGACCCCTGAGAGGCCTGAACTGGCCGCCCAGGGCGCTTGTCCCGGCGAGCACCGCGTGGCTGGCGTAGTTGTGACGTTCCTTGGCTGTGCGCACAGCGTATTCGCAGAGCCCCGTCTCCCAGCCAGGGTGGCCCTGTGGGTGTGAGATGGGAGCGGGCGGCAGGCCAGGGAGCGCTGGTCCTTCACGCTGACTTTGCCTCCCCCGCAGCCACCTCCCCACGGGTGTCCTCAGAGCTGGAGCAGGCGCGGCCGCAAACGAGCGGGGAAGAGGAGCTGCAGCTGCAGCTGGCGCTGGCCATGAGCAGAGAGGTGGCCGAGCAGGTGGGTGCCAGCAGGGATGCGCGCCCCCGTGGGGCGGGGCCCGGGCGCACTCACACGGACGAGGGGCTCTCGCTAGTTGGTCCTGGGGACGCATCGGTCAGAGGTGCTTCCTGGAAGCGCTCCCGCGCGCTTGGCTGGGCTCCAAGCCAAGTGTCCACAGCCCTCATCGCCGAGTGCGGACCACAATCTGCAAGGTGGGTCGAGAGCATCTGGACCCAGAAAAGGATGAGACAGAGGCTGGGAGGAAATGCCCAGGAGATGAGAATCTGACATTCAGACGTGGGCATGTGTGCAGTTTTTCTTTTATAAGCACACGTTACATTAAGATGGAGAAGGAGAGGGTCTTCCCTGATGGTCCAGTGGTTAGGACTCCGTGCTCCCAGTGCAGGGGGCCCGGGTTTGATCCCTGGTCAGGGAAGTAGATCCCACATGCATGCTGCACGGAGCGGCCAAATAAATGAATGAATGAATAAATAAATAATAAATTTAAAAAAAAAACAGGTTTTTACAAAAAAGATGGAGAATAAGGGAAAGGAGCAGCCTTCAAAGGGGTCGGCCCTTGGCTGCCACTTTCAGGCCGGACTTGCTGCCCTTTGGTTAAAAAAGGCGAAGGAGTGCAGCGAGGCCTGCGGCCCCTCTCGCCTGGCAGTGCTGTTGAGAGACAGCGGGGGGTCGGATGGAAGAGGCAGGTGTGGGTCCCGCGGTGACTGGAATATCCCAGAGGTCCATGTAGCGACCAGCTCCCGGCAGGGCCCCTCTGTCCACTCAGGACGTGCGGCCTGCCGTCGACGGGAGGTGCAGAACTCTCATGGGGAAAATGGGGCAGACGGACGGGCCAGCCCGTTGTAGTTCCTTGCTCCTGTCTTATGGTGAAGACGCAGTGAGTGTGTTTACTTATATTTAATCATTGTATTGTATAAAAAAGCTAGGTCGGCCCAGTGTTTTTATATATGCTGACTGTGCCTTGAATAAATATAAATTAAATATAACGAATCATTTCTGTTAGAAATCATAAAATATAAACACACACTCATTTTCTGGAAGCACACACGGTGGGGGCAGGGTGGAATGACGTGTGATTTCTGTCTTCTTTCTAATTCCTTTCTGGGTTGTTTGTGTTTTATAAGGAGACATATTGCTTCTACAATTAGAAAGAAGTTTGAAGTCATTTTCATTTTGAGAAAAAGTATTTTCCAAGTATTTCCCTTCCCCCATCTGGGTGGGCACCCCCCCCCCCCACCGGGCACACCTTGGGGTGGGAGAGGCTCATGTCCACGTCGTCCCCAGACCCTCCTTTGAAGTGACGTGCGATACGGCTTTGGTTTCCGGCTCTGGCCAGGAGGGCCTGGCTCCTGGGGATGTTGTTGCCGGGAGCACCAGCTTCAGGGTCCGTTGTCCTCTACAGGAAGAGCGCCTCAGGCGGGGAGATGACCTCAGGTTGCAGATGGCCTTGGAAGAAAGCCGCAGAGACACAGTTAAATTTCCAAACAAGAAAGAGGTGAGTGCTTCACGGGTGTGTGAGACCCTCCTGAGCCCGACCCCCAGCGGCCGCCACAGCCAGCGGCAGTGAGGAGAGGGCGGGTGACACACATCCGCCCGAGGGGCTGGACCCTCCCCTGACCCCACCGCAGTTCCGTCCCCCCGACCCCCACCCCGCGCAGCGCCAGCCGCTGCTCCACAAGCCGCTAAGCGGCAAGCGCTTTGGGACAGTTTCCTGGCCCAGGGTAAGCCGGCGTCCTCCTTACTCTATGCCGGGCTTCCTACCTGGGACCTAAAGGTGAACTGGACGTGGCTCTGCCCCTGACAACCTCGTCATCCTGTCGGGAGACAGACCCTCCCGCAGGGCCAGGGCTCCAGTGGCCTCCCTGTTCCAGTGCTGCGGGGTCCCTGAGGGCAGCCAGGCTGGCTGTGGGAGCAGGAGGGTGTGGCGGCCCCCGGGAGAGAGCCCTGGATGACGCTGGCAGCTGGGGGGCCGGGCGGGTCGGGGGGCCGTGTCTCGGAGGGAGGCAAAACCCCTGTTCTCCTGGGAAGCCCCAAGGGCCTGTCGACAGACGGCGGGCGCTTGGCACACAGCCAATAGCCGGTGTGGGTGGAGCCTGGTCCTTACTGAGAAGCGGTGATGTGGGGCGGCGCAGTCCCGGGTCCTCTGGGCCCTCCAGAAGGCCTCTGCACTGGGAGGGGCACAGGCGGACATTGGCCGCAAGGGCAGCAGGGTAAACTGTCCTCTTTCTTCGGTCCTCGTCTCAACAGCATGGCTCCCACCCGCAGCAGACCACGCTGTTGGACCTGCTGGACGCTCTGCCCGGCGCGGGCCCTGCTGCCCCGAAGGCGGAGCCCTGGGGCCCTTCCGCTTCAGCCAGCCACACCAACCCCTGGGGTGCTCCGGCAGCCCCCGGCAGCACTTCGGACCCCTGGCCGTCATTCGGTAAAGACCTCCCTCGTACGTCTCCCCTGCCCGCCTGCTGGACGGGGGAGTGGCCGCAGGGCGCGCAGCTCCCTCTCACCTGGCAGCGGTCTGAGTGGGTCTGGGTGGTGGGGGTGGGTGTCCAGACCTCCGCAGGACCCGGAGCGTCCCCCTGAGGACTGCGGTTCAGGGCTCTGCTTCGTCCTGTTGTGAGTGGTTTTCTGCTTTGGGAGATTTCTTCTCCGCTGCCCTCACGCCTCGGAGAGGGCTTGTCCCTCCTCCGGGACATGCGTCAACTCTCTCAGCCTCAGAATTGCACCCCAGGTTAAGAAACCGTAATACACAGCGTGCAATGTCTAAATCATCGTGCTGTAATTAGCCAGAAATTACGGCGTGCTTAAGTGATCGCTAATGAAAAGGGGACACGTTTACTGTAATTCTTCTTACCTGTCATTTAAGCAACAGCAAATCAGTTTACGAGGCTAAATGGATACTTTAAAGTTCTGCTTAATGCCAGACGTAAGGTGAACTTGTATTAGGAGGTTCAGACAGGAGTGTGGCGCCCTCTGTTTAATTGGGGCCGAGATCTTGGGCACGTGGGCTTCCGGATCGCTGGGCACGGGGCTTGGCCTCCAGGCTTTGGGCTGGTTTCCCACCCAGCCTGCTGCTCTGGGAGGCCCCCCGGGTGCTCCATCAACCCTGCTGCCCATGGCTGATCCGTGGGCTTCCTGTCTTGCAACCTCGAATGTATATTTTGCGCCAGTTTGCTCGTGTCTCTTGGGGCCTCTGTTTCCCCAAACCAGAACCATCTTTTGTATCCGGCTCGGTTCCCTGGAAGTTTGCCAAAGTGCACCGAATACCAGGCTCTGTCCTGCCGTGCGGGGACCCAGACAGGAGCAGGTAATGGCCCTGCCCTCCAGGCCCTGGCAGGTGTGGGTGAGTCAGGCCGCCAGCCTAGTAGCAGTGCTATGTGGGCAGGGCACCGGGGGCCGTCTTTGCGTCCATCCTGGGGCAGCAGTCCGGCGGGCGTGAGGCGTGCGTCTTGGAGGAGTCTTCAGGGAGGAGCAGGCGTGGCCGGGCCCCGAGGAGGCGTGGGTGTTCCCGCAGAAGGCTCGGCTTATGACAGGTGTGAGGCCGTGCGGTGCTGTAGAGGGCCCAGGGCTCGGGCCCTGCTGGTGTGAAATGGGCGGCAGGGGTAGGGGTGGGGGTGGGGAAGGGGAGGGCCAGGCGGGCGTCCCTGCACTTGTCCTTGGGGGATGCTGTTGGCCTCAGGGCTGGGCAGAGCCCCACACCCGCTTTGGTGGGAGCCCTCTGTGCCTTGGGGCAGACCCAGGCCAGTGCCCTAGAACTGTCGCTCACCGGAGGCCACAGCAGCCCCACCTGTGTGCTGTGCCCCCCGCACCCCTCTGGGAGCACGCGTGGCCACACGAGGCAGGTCTGCTGGAAACGCCCCTCGGCTCTGCCTATGGGGACACGGGCCCTTCCAGGCAGCGGCTCGGACTTTTCTTTAAATCTGCAAACAGTTCTTGTGACAAGTTACGGGCGGGGAGTTCTTCAGGAGAGACTCTCAATCCCTTTCAAAGTCGTATGGGGTCAGTAAGCAGACAGGGGGTCTCCTCAGTGCCGGGGAGAGAGCGTGGTCCCTCCAGGAGCTGGTGAAGCCAGCGGGCTTGAGGAGCGCTGAGTCCAGTCAGTGGCTGCTTTTGGGAGGGGTTTGGGGGTCGCAGTGGTGGGAGAGAGACAGACTTTTCCCTCTCTACCTTTTTTTTTGTTTAACTGTTTGACTTATTTACCAGGGGGTAAGTATCACCTGGTCAGGAGAGAGGGAATACATATTTTTTCAGCCAGCTAGTTTGCCCAGCCCTCCCATTGGCTGGTGGACAGGGCTGGGCTCTGGAGCTGGGTGTCCTGACTGACCAGGCACCTGACCCTCGTGGGGAGCTGGGGGGGTCTCCTGCGGGTGGGGCAGGACCACCTCCAGTGGTTGGGGTTCTCACACCTGCAGGCAGCGGAAGCCGGCAGCCGGGGAGAGGCAGCTGGTGCCCAGAGGCAGCTGAACATCACATGGGAATCCTGCCCACGTGGTTCTGCTCTTCTAAATTTTTTTTAATCAAGATAAAACTTACACGACATAAAATTCACCATCTTACCCATTTTCAAGTAGACAGTTCAGTGGTTCCTAGCCCTTCATGATAGCGTGCGGTTATCAGTACTGATCCCAGGATTTTCCATTGCCCCAGAAGGAAACCCCTTCCCATTAGGCAGTCACTCCCTGTTGCCCCTCCCGCACCACCAGTCTGCTTCCTGTCTCTGGAGTTGCCTGTCCACGTGTTTCGTCTGTCATGGGATCACACAACACATGGCCCTTGTGACTCCCAATTAGCATGTTTTCAGAGTTCGCCCACATGATAGCACACATCCCTCCTTCATTCCTTTTTAATGGCTGAATAATATTCCATTTTATAGACATACCACATTTTGTATAACCATTGAGCAGTAAGAGAAGGTTGAAACCCGAGATTGTGAAATCAAATTTTTAAATGTTGACAATGAATTTTAAAAATTAAGAACATGGTTGGAGCTAATCAAAATGCACCTGCAGTGGCCATGTGTGGTTGGTTCATGGACTGCCACTTTGCCGTCTTGTGCTACTTGCCCAACCCAGGGCCGTCTCCTCGGTTCTGATGCACTTGGCATTTTTACCAGTGACTTGGGGAAAACAGAGCATCAAAGCCCAGAGAGGCTGTTCATTCCTCTGAGGTCACACAGCAAGCGAGGCGCAGGCTCAGTGCTCATGGCCCCCAGTCCTGGAGTCATCGCGCCATCCTGGACTGCCGCTAAGGCCTTCTGTGGTTGCTCATGTCCGGGAAAGGTCCCCTCAGACTGCAACAGGGAGCGAGAACCGGTGTTAAAATGTTAGCTTGCCTGCTTCCTGTGTCCCCTGGGCCTGTGTGTTTTCACGTGGTTGGGGTCACATCGTGGGTACGTGTAGACATTTTCTTCCGTACACAGGGAGCCTTTCCAGGCATCAGTCGAAGCTCTAGACGTCGGCTCCCGTGGGCAGTGCTAGCGCTCTGCCCTCAGCAGCGCTGCAGGACGCGGCCTCAGCCCCGCTCCCAAGCTCACTGGACCGTGGTGACCGTGAACTTGCTTCCTTCTTCTGAGACGCCGCTCTGGAGCGAGACACAGTGTCGGGCTTACTGCTTAGTCTGTGGTAGAATCTGCCAGTGTGTGTTTGGGGAACACCCCACCACCCCGAAACAGCTAGAAAGATCAGAGTCTCTTCCCCAGCACTGTGGGATGCGCCCTCTGGATGAAAGAAGCGCTGTTGTGAAAGCCGCCCTCGGTAGCGAGCCCTGCCTTTACCAGCTTGTGCCAAGGGGCCCCGGGAGGAAATGCTGGGGGCCGGGAGGAGGGAGAGCGGCGCCTGCCAGGTCAGCAGGGCACTTCCTGCACCTGGCAGACACAAAGCAGCCGCCTGGGACAGCAGGGCTCAGGCCTGTGATTCCGACAGCCTTGGCCGGCTCAGCCCCCGCCCCCGCTCACTCCATGACCCGCCATGTGACTGCTTCCCTGTCCCATGAGGCTCGTCGTGGGGCTCAGGGGGAGCCGGGCACGCTCCCTGTGAATGGGCCCTCGGTCCTAGCCTCCCCTCCTCTCAGTCACTCAACAAGCGCCCATTTGTCGGGTGTGTGGCCCTGCCGGGGCTGTGGTGGGCGGAGCACAGCGGGGTCCATCGTGTCCCACGTGCGGTCAAGAGGGCAGTGCCCGAGGCCCGGGGCGGTGGGAGGCCAAGGAGTTCCAAGACGGCCTCTGCCTGGCAGGGCAGCCTGGCCCCCCCTTACATGCCGGCTCCTCACGTGATGCTGTGCCCTGCTGTTTGGCTAGTGGGCGCCTGGCTGTGCTTGAAAACATGGCTTGGGTGTCCTGCTCGGGGAGACAGGGTCACCCTGTCCTCAGGACCCCTCCTTCCCCGTGGTCGCCAGCTGCCCGTGACCCGCATGCTAGGTACAGTCGCCGGGGCCGTGTTCCTCTTGCAGGGCAGGGCCTGGGCCTGGGCCGTGAGGGCCAAACGATGCTCAGAGGAGCGAGGTGGTGCTGAGGGCCGCCTGTCTATGGCAGGGTCCGGCCCCACCAGACGTCCGTCTGTCCATCCAGCCTGCGATCCGAGCGGCCCAGGAGCTGGGTGGTTCTCCCGCACCAGCTGCCCATCCTAGCTGCTCGGGGAGCCTCTAAAAATGCACATGCCCAGGCCCTCCTTGGCATCTGTGTGTGTGGGGGTCAGTATTCTACTCACACCCCCAGGGGATTCCCAAGGGCCACAGCTGAGAACCGCTGGCCTGGTGCCCCCTGAGCTGCGTGGTGAGTGAATCCCTCTGAATCAGAGGCGTTTGCGGACTCTCTGCGTGGGCTGTGCAGAGTCGGGGCAGCTCTAGCTGTGTGTCTACACCCGAGTCAGACATTTACCCGGCACCTTCCAGAAGTGCTCTCCAGCGTCGACGGTGCCCATGGTGGAGCCCTGAGACTCTGTGGGTCCCTCAGGCCCCACCAGTTGCCAGCACCTTGGTGTGTCAGGTCCTCTCTGAGGCCCGGGAGAGCGGCGTGAGCTCGGCCCCCGTGAGCAGGTGCCCGTGAGGGGGCTGCAGGGTGGGGACCGTGCCGCCAAGCGGGCCGGGGAGGCCGTCTGATGGGCAGGACGCCATGTTGTACCCAGTGGGGATGGGTAGCTCTGCCCTCAGGCCAGCTCGACCCAGTGGCTGAGCCGGTGTCACCAAGACCCAGGCCCCCTGCTCTGCCCCCACCCACTGGGCCCCTCCCCTCTCCCTTTGGCCTCAGAAGCTCAAGGCCTGGGTGACGGCTCTGGGCGCTCACAGCCCGGGGATGGAGAGGATCTCCCTGGACCTCATGGACCTCTCTGGGGTGCAGGAGTGGGGAGCTGGGACTGGGGGTGGGCTGGTGAAGACCCTCCCCTGTTGCAGCGCAGGGTCCGCCCGCTCAGACCGGGACTAGGGAGTGGTGAGGGGACAGTTCTCCCGAGGAAGATCAGGGGATCCCTCCAGAAAAGAGGAGGTGGGTGCTGGAAGGTGACCAGGGGTTGTCTCCCGATGGGGGCGCGTCTGCCCAGCGGTCAGGCTCAGGGGAGGAGTGCAGGGCTCCCAGTCCGGGTCCTTGGGCACAGACGCGCTGGGACGTGAACTGTGAGCCCGCGGTTCTCGCGGGTGCTGCTGAGCGGGGGAGGTCGAGGCCCCACGGGAGCCAGAAGCAGCCTGGCACCAGGTCCGGGTCCTCTGCGACCTCCCCGTCCTGCGTCCTCTCCGTTGCGTCTCGGCAGCTCTGAAGACACGTCCCAGCTCTTCTAACCTGCAGTCCAGCTCCCTCCCTGATGCAGTTTCCACCCTGGCAGCTTCCTCCAGTTGAGACAGGAAACCAAGGCCCCCGAGGTGCTGTGTTGGGGGCAGAGCGAGGGCGCACCCCGGCTGTGTGACTCCAGCTGGGACCAGGTATCCCGCTGGCTGAAGTGGGCCCGGGAGAGTGGGGTCCATCCCAGGGGAGGTTGTTCTGCGTGAGACACTGGGCGGACGGGAGTGAAAGGTCGGAGGAGCTTCTGGAAGCCTCAGGAGGGTTGTGGGCTTGGGGGCAGCGGCTGGAGAAGCCCCAAGTCCACACCAGAGCTGGCCGGCCGCCAGTGGGTGACAGGCGTGAGGCTGCCCTGGCTCGTCCGTCCTGGTCGCCGTGGCAAGCCTGGGGGAGGCCGGCCGGCGGCGGTGCGTCTTCTTCAAAGCCAAGGAGCCCCTTTCACGGCCGGGCCCCGTGCAATGCCCTGCCTGGGGACGGGCCCCGGGCACTGAGTCCACGGGCGTCAGGGAGCAGTGCCGGTCTTTTCACCCCGCCTGGTGCCCCCAGGAGCTCACTGTCCAGGGAGACTCCTGGTAAACGAGTAGCCACGGAGCTTTCTGGAGAGTGCTCCGGAGGAGTTGGGGGCGCGTGCAGGCAGAATGGGGACGTGGCTTTTTGGAGCTCCAGGAAAGTAATGTTTGAAAAGATAGCGACGGAGGGCTTTCAAGAATTGTGGCGAGGGGCTTCCTCTCAGAGCTGGGGAGCCTAGTGAGCCCTACACAGGGTAGTCAGAGAAACCCACACCCAGACGTGCAGTCAGGAGACTGGAGGACAGCAAAGGGAGAGGACATCAGAGATGACCCCCCGGGAGCAGAGAAGAACGGCCGTCAGGCCGGCGGCCGAGTCCCAGCAGTGACGAGAACGTCCTCAGGGCCCACCGGGAGAACATCCTTCTCCTGAGAGCAACGGTGACATAGAGAAACCACCGAAAACCTCACCCACCAGAATCCTGCGTCCGGTAAAGGTATCCTTCAGGAATGAGGGTGGAAGGGTACCATTTCCAGCCCCACAAAAACTGCCAAGGGGAGTTGTTCCAGCTGACATGGAAGACAACCAGACGGAAGCTCAGATCTCGGGAAGGAATGGAGACTATCAGGAATACAGAACTAAGCAGGAGAAGATGTTTAAATAAGAATATGAGGAAGTCGGAGCAGCGTGATTCATAAGCCTGTGACGGTGTCGTCTCAGAACTGGAGAGCACGCGTTCTTTCCAGTCACACGCGAGATGCAAAGCATCAGCTGCGTGCTAGGCAAAAAGCCTCTGCCACGTCAGAAAAGTGGATCACATAGAACGCACCTGCTGACCACAGTGCACTCAAGTGTAAAGTCGGTAGCAAAAAGTGGATCACATAGAACGCACCTTCTGACCACAGTGCACTCAAGTGTAAAGTCGGTAGCAAAAAGACAAGTAGAAGACTCCATACGCCTGACATTTTAAAAGCACTTCTACATTCTCGAGTCAAATGAGAAATTATAGTGGCAGAAATATTTAGAACCAAATAATAACGTAAATATTTTCATATCAGAATACATAGGACAATGGAAGTGATAGTAAGAGGAAAATTTAGAGCTTTTAGTGTTTGCATTAGTCCAGAAGAAAGGCACAAGATTGATGAGGTGTTGAGGCTTGGATGGTGTCACGCCCAAGTGGAAGGAACGAAACAGTGAGGAGAACAGAAGCTAACAAGTTAGAACACAGACAGAATAATATCCAGAAACCCAGAAGTTGGTCATTGGAAAGAGTAGTAAAATAGAGAAATCTCTGGCAAGAGTAGTTCTGAAAAGTAAAGAGGAAAGGCCAAACAGTGTAGGTGCAGGTCCTGCCGAGATTCCACACAGAGTAAGAGGTGTTTGATCAACTCTGTGCTGACAGACCTGAGGACTTAGACAAAATGGGTAAATTAAAAAAGAAGACTTGGCAAAGCTGGCGGAGGAACAGTAGGACACCTGTAAATAGGGAAAGTCCTATAATCGTTAAAGGAACCGAGTAAGTCACTCACCTCCCTCTCGTTCCCTAAATCACCCAGAGGGCTTTGCTGGGAGTTCTCAAGCCATTCAAGAAACAACTCCAGGGACTTCCCAGGTGGTCCAAGCGGTTAAGACTCCAATGCAGGGGGCCCGGCTTTGATCCCTGGTCAGGGAACTAGATCCCTCGTGCCGCAACTAAAAGATCCGGCGTGCCGCAATGAAGATCCCACGTGCCGTAACTAAGACCCGGCGCAGCCAAAATAAATAAATAAATACTAAAAACAAGAAAGAAACAACTCCACTTGATACCAACTCCTTCAGGGGCTGGGAAAAGCGAGGATTCCTACTCATTTTATGGGTTAGCATAACCTTAACACCAAAACCAGACAGAAGATGCACAGTGTGAGAGCACACAGGTCAGGCCAGGCCCACTTAGGAATACAGGTGCAAAAGCCCTAAGCAAAGAAGCAACTGTAAAACCGGAACGAGAAGAATATACAAATGATACAGTACATCGTGAAGAACATTGTTTGCAAGGAGCGAATCACTAGGAAATGTATTAATGTACCATATGAACAGGCCCAAAGAGAAAAATCACGTGATCATCCTATTAGAGGCAGAAACAGGCTGACAAAATTCACCAGCTCTTTATCGCAGAAGTCTTAGCAAACTTGGAATAAGAGGGAACCTCCGTAACCTGATAAAGAGCTTCTGAAAGGAAAAACGCCTATTATGGTGAATGGTGCCGTTTAACGGTATACGTTTAAGAGCAAAACGTGGACACAGTCCGTTCCCCTGCTCTGCGTTGGGGCGGGTGGTCCTGGCCAACAGAGCGAGGCGGGAAAATGAGGGACTTGGAAGAACTAAGCTGTCATCGCTTTCAAGGGATGTGACCGTGTACATAGACTCCCAAAGAGTTTCTGCAAACGAGGTGATTGGAATTAAGAGTTATTAGAATTACTGAAAGAATAAATAGGATGCAACTAACACAACAACGTAAAGCAATTATGCATTGCTGCTTTAACATCCAATAAAGATTTAAAGAAGAAAAAAAGAATAGGATGTATTTCAATGATTAGAATTAAGAGTTTAGCAAGGTTGCTGAATACAAAAATTAGTATACGAATTAAATTGTTTCTCTGCATAGTAATAAGTAACTAGAAAATGAAGTTTTAAAAATATGCCAGTCTCTAAAGTTGTATAAATCCCTCATGGAAATAAAGGATAAAGTAAAAAGTATGATCCAGTCCATGTGCGAGGGCGTGTGGAGGTGGAGTTCCTGCGTGTCCCGAAAAGCACAAATTAGAGGAAAATCCTGCTGCGTTCTACTCCATCCAAGTGAGAACTTCTCTGTTCATCAAAAGATTCCATGAGGAGAGTGAAGGGAAAGGCCACAAGTTAGGAGAAGGTGTTTGGAACTCAAGGAAGAGAATCAGCACCCAGACGTGGAAGGAACCCGTCAAATCAATGAAAACAAAAAACCCAAGGGAGGCGGGTAGAGACGGGACCAGGCCCCTGGTGGGAGAGGAGGCGTGAGGGGCCTGGGAAGGAGCGAGCTGATGCCCGTGTCTGTGGTGAAGGGCCGCGTGTGCAGCACAGCGACAGCTACACCAGCCATGCCTTCTGTCACAGGATGAAGTATTAGACAGCAGTAAACAACACGTCTCAGCTGCACACCAACGCAGCTCAGTCTCCCGGATAAACCTCTGCGTGAACACAGCCGCCTCCGAGAGCACCCCGACGGTGTGTCTGGTAGCACACGGCTCAGGGGCCCGGCACCGCTCGCCCCCTCGGTCCCCTCCGTGGCGAAACCGGAGCTCGTGGAGGGAGGTGTGGACGACTGGGGCGGGGCGCGGGGGCCACGCAGTGGTCGTCTGAGATGCTCCGCGGGGAGAGCAGGTGCGTGGGTGCTCTGTGCAGGTGGACGGATGCACGCGTGCATGCACGACCCACTCCCCACCCTGCACAGGCCCGGGCGTTGGAGTCTGTCCCATCCTTCAGGGAGTGGATGTGTTAGCGCACAGCTGTTTGTTTGATGCCTCTCCGTGCCGCACCGTGTGTCTGCTGCGTGCAGGCAGGGAGGACGCTGCCGGGCAAGCTCTGCTGTGGCGGAGGCCGCGGGGGCTCCGTGCTCCCTTCCCCGGGCGCTCCCCCCAGGGTGCTCCTGTGGCCCCAGGTCCTCTCCCTCTCACCCCAGCTGCCCAGCCCTTTCTGGGAGCATCTCTGAACCAACCCCGCCTTCCCACAGGTGCCAAGCCAGCCACCTCCGTCGACCCATGGGGGGTGCCCACCGGAGCCGGCGCACGCTCCGTCCCCAAGGGCTCCGACCCCTGGGCCGCCCCGCAGCAGCCAGCCCCCAGTGCCGGGAAAGCCGCTGACCCCTGGGCTGCAGCGTCAGCCGCCAAGCCCGCGTCCCCCTCTGGTGAGCCCCCCGCCCCCTGGCCCCTCGGCTTCAGTTTGGGGAGGGGGAGGTGGGGCGGGGGCAGCCAAGAGCCCTGCTCTGCGTGGGGAGGCCCCTCCCGGTGCCCACCTTGCCCACCCAGGGACCCCACACCCCCGCTGCCCCCCGACTCTCCGGGTTCTCCCCCGTGAGGGCTACAGACGCCGGCCTACCTCTGGTCCCCCACGATGGGGAAGCACATGGCAGAGAAGTGGAGACACCGCACAGCCACTGCCGCTCTCTCCCCAGGGGCTTTTGATCTCTTCAGTAATTTGAATGGTACAATTAAAGATGACTTTTCTGAATTTGACAACCTCCGAACTTCAAAAAAAGCAGGTACGTAACGGCGGTGGTGGTGGTGGTTTCTGTGCCGTCCTGTGCCCCTGACCAGCCCCGTTGCTGCAGGCATCACAGTCAGGAACCTGGCGACTCCACGCGTGTGCACGTGTCTGACCTGGGAGCCGGGGGTCTGACTCAGGGATTCACATTCACGGGGCAGCGGCGGCAGGAATGCCCTTGAGCTTTCTGTCACCCTCTCCTCTCCTCCAGCCACCTCTGTTCCTCGGCCTCGCGCCCTGGGCCCTGTGGCCGCTGGCGGAAGCCCACTGCCCTGGCTCCCCGGCTGGCCCAGCGCAGCCCTGCCGTCTCCACCAGCCTTCCTCTTCCCAGCTCCCCAAAGGCGCCCCCTTTTCCAGACCACCCGGCTCTCTGTGTGGGCAGGCATCTGTGACGCACACACGTGCACGCACGCATGCATGCACATGCGCGCTCTGCAGAAGACCCTGCTCCTCCCCGAGCGCCCCTGGGCTGGGAGGGGTCAGGGTCGGAGCGGGGAGAGAGACTGGGCCCCGAGGGGCAGAGGGAGGGGGCTGGATGCCCTCTTCACACAGCCCTGTGGGGCTGGGGACAGAGCCAGGTGGCGCCTGCCTTCCTCAGGGCCACCCCTCCCAGCTGCACCGAGCAACTTTTCTCCTTTCTCTCACCTCTCCTGGCTTCCCCGCTTCCCGTTTCCCACTGCCCCTCCCCTGCCTCCCCCAGCAGGCAGGGCTGGGCTGGCCTAAGGTAGGAGCAGCCTGGCACCCCTCACCGCACCGACCCCGCCCCCGGGCCCTCTCAGCTCCAGGGGCCCAGAAGCAACTTAGAGCTGCTGCTTCCCCGGGTTTCTTTTGCCGCATTAAAAAAGCAACAAGATTCCGTGTGTCTCTTCCACAGGCCAAAGTACAACCTAACTGTCCTTGCTCGCTCCCCACCCCTCAGGGAGAAGCCTAAGCACCCTTCCCTGGGCCTGTGAAGTATTTACCCCAATTCTGGAGGTGTTCCCATTGTAGAAAGTGTGGGAAAGTTTATGGAAGACAATGAGAATCATGTGTAATTCTTCCATCTACACGTGGCCACTGTGCTCCCTCCCAGCACTTTTTCTGAGCTCTTACGGATGGAGGGAGTCGAATCCTGCCCCCACCACTTTTTTTTTTTTCCCACCACTTTTATGGAAAAGCGGATTGAGAACGTTTTCTTTCAACATTACGAATTCTCTAGAAAGAGCTTTGTAGTATCTCTTCGTAGGGCTCAGCGACAAGTTACTGGGTTCCGTAAGATACTACGGAAAAACCCGAACTTTTTGGCCAACCCAATATTTAATCGTTAATTTTGGGGAGGGCATTTTAAGTTGATTTCAAGTTGTGCTGAAGTAAATAATGCTGTAGTGAACATCTCTGTGCTTAACCTCCTGCTCACACTTTGCATTATCTCCTGAGTCTGGGTTCCTGGACGTGGGGCTGCTGAGTGCAGAATCAATGGTTCTTCGGGACCCGTGTCCCCATCACCATCTCACAGAGCAGAGCAGCCGAGCAGAGCAGCCACGTTCCTGCCGGCCTGCCTCAGCACACCCTCTGTTGGCTGAATTTTTAAAAGTCATTTGCTTTCTTCTTACCGTCAAGCAATTCATGTTCACTGTAGAAAATTTAGAAAATGAAAACATTTAAAAAAATGTGAACTACTCATGTGTGGCCACCAACCCAAAATGCCATCTTAATATTTGTGGAGATTGTGCTGCACTGTTCTGTCCCTGCTCCTTCCTCATCGCGCCTTCCGTCCCTGGACTCAGGTCAGGTTGTACTTGCCCTGCCCTGTGGCTGACCGTGGCTCCAGGTTGGGGCTGTTGGAAATAGCACTGCAGCGAACGCCCCATTCCTTAGGCAGCCGCACGCATCCCCAGCGAGTCGGCGTCCGGGGACATCGGGGTTTGCTGTGGACGCTTCGGGGTTGGATGAGCCCTCCAGGCTCACCAGCCCGTGTGTGTCCTTGTCTTGCAGCCAAGGCGGCGTCTCCGCCGGCCCAGAACAGTGGAACTACCAGCCCCGACCCCTTTGAGTCCCAGCCCGCGACCGTGGCCTCAAGCAAGCCCAGCGGCACCCGGAAAACCCCCGAGTCCTTCCTGGGCCCCAACGCAGCCTTGGTGAACCTGGACTCGCTGGTGGCCAGGCCAGCCCCGCCGGCGCAGTCCCTCAACCCCTTCCTGGCCCCAGGTATGCTTGCTTCCCGGCCTTCCTCTGGCCGTCTGCCCTTCCTGGGAGCGGCTCTGGGGCAGGCCTGTGGGCGCTGACCTCCCCTCCACCTCTGCGGGGGACTCTTCCCTCGGGGACCACAGGCGGGGACCAGGCTCAGGGGCGTGCTGGCCCCGGCTGAGCAGTAGCGTAGCGCCGGGCGTCCTGGACCAGCCCTCGCGCCTCTCTGTCCTCAGTTGAGACGGCTGAGCAGAAGCTGCCCCTGACTTGGTGCCCCAGCCAGGGAGACCCTTTAGCGAGCGCCAGTTTTAGGTCAGCTGGGGGCGCATAGTGCTGGGGCTGAGGAGAGGAGCCTGGGTTTGCTGCCCAGCAGCCCCGTTTTCGGGTTGAGGGTAATTGGGCTCTCTGCTGGGCCATGCTCCAGGGACCCCAAGAGCCCTCACTTCGCCCCTGCTGCTGGATTCTGCCTTATCTGGGGCTGGAACTCACCCTTGCCCCCAAGCCCGTCCTCCCTGCCGGTGGGCTCTCCACCCTCAGGAGCTCCACGTGGGCTGCAGGACAAGCCCCAGCCCTCGAGTGAGTGGCCAGGGCCTCCGTGTCCCGTGCCCCCGCCCACGCCAGGCCCCTGTCTGCTCAGCCCCTCAGCTGCGTGGGCCGCTCTCTGCCCCCCGCCCACGCCAGGCCCCTGTCTGCTCAGCCCCTCAGCTGCGTGGGCTGCTCTCTGCCTCCCGCCCACGCCAGCCCCCTGTGCGCTCAGCCCCTCAGCTGCGTGGGCTGCTCTCTGCCCCCTGCTACACGTCCTGTTCCCTCTGCCGGGACATCTCCCTCCTCTTCTCCGGGGCTGGGGATTCGGATCCCCCCTTCGCTTCTCAGTCCGGGCAACCCTCTTCCTTGAGGAAGCTCCCGCCCTTCCCCAGAGTTTTCCCAGAAAGGCCTTGGGCTCCCCAAGGGCAGGAACAGGTCACCTTCAAGGTGTTTGTCCTCAGACCTGAGGACTTGGCAGGCTGAGGTCGGGGACGCTCTGGCAGAAGCGGTGTGTGTGTGATGCCTGGGTCCTGCCCGGCCGTGCGCTCCTGAGGTGGGTAGGGAACGTGGTTGCCACCAGCGGGGGTGGCTCCAGGGCAGAGCTGGCCGACAGCCAGGGGTCTGCCTCGAGGGCCCCTGCAGGAGCTCCACTGCCAGGCTGTGGGGGGCCGGTCACGGCCTGGAGCTACGGCCAAGATGCAGGAGGCTCTGGCAGCCCCCTGGCCCTCCAGGGCCATCCTCCTGGCTCTGCCCCTTTCTGGTCCTACTCTGTAGTCTAGTCTGCTCATCTCTAGCCCGGGTGATCTGATCTGCACAGCCCTCTTCCCAGGGCTCCGAGGAGCGACTGATGCAAGAGCGTTGGGGTGCCCTCATGAAGAGCAGGCGGCATCTCCTCTGGTGACCTGGGGTTGCCTTCCTGGCAGCCTTTGTGAGCAGGGGCTGGGCCGAGTTGGAGACTCAGTGCCAGCAGCGCCCGTGGTTTTTGGCCAGGGTATCAGTAGATGTTTCTGCTGGATGCGGGGAAGGGTTTCTGGTATGAGAGGAATTCGGGAAACACTGGGCAGGACAGAGCTGCATCTGCTTATAGACTGCAGGACTTCTCAGAGCCTTTATTATGCCAGGGTCCCCAGGTGCAGGCCGCCCTGCGCTTCCCGCCTCCCCCGTGGCTCCCCTCTCTCCCCGCACCTCTCTCCTCTCCCCTCTCCCTCTGGTCGCAGAGCTAGGCTGGCTGGCTGGCTGGCTGAGAGAACGAGGGAGGGCGCCCGGGGTGCCAGCCCGGAGGAGGAGCTGGGCCCCGCGAGCCTGACCCCTCGCTGGGCTCCTCACGGCCTGAGTCTCCCAGTCCCAACACCAGGCCCAGAGGGGCGGGCGGGCTGCCCCGGTGGGCGCTGTGCCGGGGTCGTCCAGGCCCAGGCACGCTGCAGCTCTGACCGTGGCCGCCCTGCCCGCTCTCTCTCCAGGTGCCGCCGCGGCCTCAGCCCCGGTCAACCCCTTCCAGGTGAACCAGCCGCAGCCGCTGACGCTGAACCAGCTGCGGGGGAGCCCGGTGCTGGGGAGCAGCACGTCCTTCGGGCCCGGCCCGGCTGTGGAGCCCGTGGCTGTGGCCTCCGTGACGTCCGCAGCCTCCCACCCAGCCCTGGGGGCTGGCGGCTCCTCCCTGCCACCGCTGGGCCCCGCTGCGGTGAACATGGTGGGCAGCCTGGGCGTCCCCCCGTCAGCAGCTCAGGCCACCGGCACAACCAACCCGTTCCTCCTCTAGTGTCCCCCCCCCCCGGGACCCGCCGCAGAGCATCCGTGCCGAGGACGCCAGGCAGGGGCTCTCGCCTGTGGAATGGGGTCTGAGAGTGGGGTGGGTGTGCAGAGGGTGTCTTTGCGGCCCTGGCCCTCAGCCTGAGGGTCGAGAGGTGGCGGGCTTATTGAGGCGTCATCACGCGGCACGTGGGTCCCCGAGCCTGTGTCGGGCGGGAGGACCCCTGACCAAGCCTGGCCGCAGGCCCGGCCCCCGTGGAGATCCGCCAGCCCTCGGGGGCCTTGGGTGAGGAGGCGGCAGTGCTCGGTGCTGGCCCAGCCTCAGCCCCGGGCTTCTGGGAGCCCCCCTGCCCAGGACCCGGCCCCCACCCTCAGCCCTGGCGCCCCCCCGGGCGTGGACGGGGTGGAGTGCGGGCTCCCTCAGACACTGACCTTTGGGGGACGCGGTTGTGCGTATTTTACTCTTCTTTGACTCGTGTGTGAGTTCAAAGTAAATGGCGCCACCGTGGAACAACTCTTGACTTAAACCCACTAGAGCAAGCTTTAAACTAACCTGAGCGTAACCCTGCCACGTGCTCCATGCTTGTACACGTTTGCACAGATTTTGTTTAGTACAGTTTCATATTTGTTTGCAGAATTATCGAATAGTCTTTTTTGGCTAATATTTTTATAACGTCGTTCTTATTTAACTGTCTAGTTTTGATAGAATTTGCCAGGTCTGGCTGGATTAAGATGTTGGCCGCGTCACGTTAGTGGTGTAAATCCTCTTATTTATGGTTTTAACTCTGTAAGAAAGTTTAAATAGGAAGAGACAAAAAATGCCTTATGGAAAAACTAAAGCAAATTCTTTATAGGAAAACATATGGGAATTTGATTATGCATAAAAGATGTTTATTTAAAAGGAAAAGAAAACTACAACAGTAACAAAATCGTAGCCTCCGGTTGCCTTTCCCTTTAACTCCTTTTCCTGGTGGATTACCAAACCGTTGACTTTCAGCCTTTTTGGCTAGATCCTAAGAGAGAGGCTATTTTTCTTACTGATGAAGCAACGTGAAGAAAGTTAAAGACAAAAAAAATCTAACATATGAATGTGACTCACCAGGTTTTATCAGCTAACTCCTTTCTGTGACTGAAGGCATGCAGTTAAGACTTCGTTTACAGTGGGAACGTGGGAAGGAGAGGCTTCTGGAACCCTGTGTCTGTGACCCCCTCTATCTTACTCCACACTCAGGGTAGAGGTGGGGACAGCGGCGGGGGCGGCATGTCGGGGGCAGCCCAGGCTGACAGGGGGAGGGCCCAGGGCTGGCCCCGACCTACGCACCCGCCCTCCAGACACCCGTTGCAACGTAGAAGTAATCATCTCTTACTTGGCAGAGGAAGAAAAATCATTCTCACCCAGAAGAGATTGTTAGCGAACGTGCACTAATCTTACCTCCCTCTCCCCTGCTTTCCTCACCCCGCCCACCACTATAAAAAAGTATTAGGTAAGTCACAAATGAAAGACCAGAAGAGACTTGCTTCTCCCCAGAGCAGGGCCATTTCCCCCCGAGTCCTGTCTGTTTGGTCAGCCGGCCTGGCGGGCACCTCAGTCTCACTCTACGTGGCGGACGTCTCACCTCTAGCACCAAGGGCAGCTGACAGCTGAGGGTCTCTCCTGGGGGGATGGGGCCCCTCCCCCCTCTCTGGTTCCAGGAGCTCTGACCCTTGGCGCTGGGCACGGGAGGCTGACTCAGAACTGCCTGCTCAGGCCACTCCTGTTGCCATGTAGAAGAGCTCACCCGTGCTCCTCCCTGGGGCTACCCCCGGCCCAGAGCTCCTGCCCAGCCCGAGACCTGGGGCTGGACCATGGGCTCCAGAGTCATCCACGAAGGCCCTTCCGGCCTCTCCCAGCAGCCTGGGGGAGGGTGGGGCAGGGCGGGGCTCGGGGCAAGGTGCTCCCCCGGGAGGTAGGGGCCGACCCCCTCACGGGGCACAGGACCACGCTACTGGGGTCATGATTCCTCGTGAGAGTGAGGGGCCCTTCCCGATGGGACTTTAAGGCCCCGATGTCACAGCCAGTGGCCCACCCAGGCCCAGGCAGACTCCCGCCCAGCTCCCGGCTCAGGCCCACCCCCAGGCGCCTCGTCCGTGTTGCCCGTTGCACTGATCATGAAGCCACTGGTGCTGCCACGCGTGTGGGACACATGCCATCAAGCTCCCTCCTGCCGGGCACCGTGGTAGGGGTGTTGCCCAGCCGTTTTCTCAGTCCCAGGGGCGGGTGGCCGGTTTGGAACTTGTGTTGACTGTTGATACTTATTTACTGTATAAATATAATTTATCATTTGTATCACGACGCGGTTTCTGGCTGTGTCCTTCCCCCGCCCCCACCCTTATCAATCTGGACGCATCGGGAGAGGCGCGCTTGGGAGCTGGTTCCTGCCTGGAGTCCAGCTTGGCCTGCGGTTCACAAGGCCACCGACCCGGTCTCGGTGCCTGTGTGAGCCTGAGCTTAGGGGAAGGAGGGGGCTGGGGGCTGCCGGGGGCACAGGCCAAGATCATTACAAGGGAGAGGGAGGGGGCTGAGGAAGAGGCCACGTCTCGGGAAGGGCTGTCCGTGTGGTTGGTGACGTGCCGGGGCCACTGGACGAGCAGACGGGTGGTGGAGTCTGTGGTGGACGCGGTGTGGTCTGACGGCTGGGGCGTCGAGGGAGCTGGGACGGGGACGCAGGAGATGCTTCTGCGGAGCAGCGGGGCCAGAGCGGGGAGGGAAGGTTCCACGTAAAGAGGGTCAGGATGCTGGGGATTGGCGGACGGTTCCAGAGCGCGCAGTGAGCTGGGGGCCCTGAGTTTATGGGGGAACTGGGACAAAGGCAGGTCCCCGTGACAGCCGGGCAGTGGGTGGTGGCTAAGGTGGGCTCTTCAGACTGCGGGGCTCCCCTCAAATCCTGCTGAGGGGAGAACCCTGAGCAAGCCCGGTGTTCTGGCCACAGGGCTCCCCGGAAGCGGCCCGTGGGGGGTCAGGTGGCCCTGGGGGGCCGAGGGCAGGCGGGTCTCCCCCGCCGTGGCGCTGCCCACCTTGGGGAAGCTTGCAGCCCGTCCTCTGGGCTGCCACGGGCCTCTCCATCCAAGGGAGGTGCTGCCCGGCTCGCCTGTCTGGTGGACAACACGCTGGTTTTAGGGACGAGCGTGTCGAAGTGTGGGGGCCGCCCAGCCGTGGGCCCGGGATCAGGCTGAGCCCAGGCTCGGCTGCTGGCTTCCGTCCTGGTGCAGCTTCCACCCCGGGCTGTGCCCCCCAAGGCCCGCGCCAGCCCCGGGGCCCTGCTCCCAGGGCAGTTGCTGCGGGGAGAGGAGCTGCCCCAGCCTGGGCTCTGTGAAAAGGTAACACTTTATTACACAAACACCGGCCACCCCCGACGCACGTCAGGCAGGTGGGTCGCTGGGCCGTCCCAGGGGGCCGATGCCTTCACCGGGAGAGGCCCTGGGGTGTGCTGGGCCCTGAGACCCCCTGTGTGTCCGGAGGCCCGGTGTCATAGCCCAGCTTCCTCATGTCCTTGGTCACCACGTTGAAGAGGAGAGTGACGAAGCCCTGGGAGCGGACGCGGGTCACTGAGGACAGAAGGGCAGCGTTAGCTGGGCCCACGCCCCTCACCGGGAGAAGGGGCTGCGGTGGAGACGGGGGATGGACGGACGTGGCAACCCCTCCGGGCTGGGCTCTGCCCCCGCATCTGTGTGCTGGCGGGTCCCTGGCATCCAGCCATCTGACTGCGGGGGGCCCACCTGGTCCCACCTGCCCGGGGGATGGGGGGTCAAGTTTTACCTTCCCGGCCTTCCCCTTGAGCCACCACCTTGGGGTCTGTGTACTCGGGCCGCCGTCCCATGAACCAGCTGGGAAGACAGGAGACAGCCTGAACCCAGACAGAAATCCCAGAAAGGTGACAGCAGCCGAGGTGGGGAAGGCGGGGACCTGGGACAGTGTGATTCCCCATCCTCCTGGGGAAGGAGGGCCCCAACCCAGAGCCCAACAACCAGCCCTGGGGTGGGCAGAGGAGCCAGATCTGGGCTCTCCACTGTCCTCTGAAGAGAGCAGGACCCAGGATGTCACTTCCATTTCTGAGCACCAGTCTTCTCACCTTAATGGGGACGTGATAATGGTCCCCTACCCCATGGGGCTCCAGCTGTAACGCATTAGCCTCTTGACATCTGAGCCTCCCACCCAGGCAGAAGGTTCTCCGCACCTCAGAGCAGGCCGCGGACATGCAGTGAGCCAGCAAGGGGCTGGGGGGGGGCAGGGAGGGGGGCGGGAGAGGGCACAGGGGGGTGGGGAGGGCAGGGGGCGGGAGGGGAGCAGGGAGGGGGCAGGGGGGGCACAGGGGGTCATGGAGGGGAGCCTCGCCCCCTCCCTGCACCTCGGTTTCCCCATCGGAGGAGCAGGGCTACGCGGCACCTGCCCCCAGGCTGCGCTGAGGACCAGCCCGGGGAAGCAGCCCCCAAGGGCCCCGCCAGCCTGGACGCTGCTGCAGGGGCCCTGCGGGCACCTTGAGGCGGAGATGTGCCTGAGTAGCTCGTGCAGCGGTGTCTCAGGGAACCCTTTCTGCCGTGTGAAGAGCAGATTGGAGGATCTGCGTGATGGCCCCAGAGACTAGGTCCCACTGTGAGAAAGTTAATTTCTGTGGTTTTAAGCCACCAAGTCCGTGGTAACTGGCTGCGGCGGCCACAGGAAGTGGCCGCAGGGAAGCAGGCAGCCAGCAGGCCGAGGAAGGACGCCGGAGGCGGAGGCCCAGCAGAGGGGACGAGAGAAGGGGCTGCTGGAACACGGACCCCTCATCTGGGACGACTGTCCATCCAGCTGCCTTCCCCCATTTCCGTAACCCAAGCACACACGGCCCAGCCCAGGCAAGAGCCCCTCCGAAGGGCGGGAGACGACCCCTTGCTGCCGCCCGGCCAGCGGTGAGGGCTTTCCCAGCAAGGACCCCCCCCTCCCCAGGGAGACCCCACACGGGGGCCCGCAGCCCTCCCTCGGAGCTGTGGGGCGTGGAGCAGTGTGGACACCGGGGTGGTGGTGTCACCTCCAGCCGACGCTGGCCCTTCCCATCACGGTGGCTTCTGGAGGGCTCCCAAGGGCAGCAGGCGCCTCAGAGCCCAGGAAGCGTCCTCCCCCGAGCAGGGTGCCGGCCGGGGGGCCCAGGCGGTGCTACACGTTCCCCTGGGCCTGGCCCACCACCGCGGAGCTGAGCTGACCCAACCCGAGTCGGCCAGCCAGGCCCAGCCAGCCCTCCAGCTCCTACTCGGATGAGGGAAGGGGCCAGACGCCTCGGGCTTGGTCTCCCTGCAGGCCCGTGTGCGGGCCCCACCGGCTGCCCCACCAAGGTCACTACCTCCTCGAGCCCGAGCTGCTCCCTGCGCCCCGAGCCCTGCCGGCCCCGCCCTCTGCTCTAGTCCCTGCTCAGCTGTCACCTCCTGGCAGAGGGCCCTTGTGTGAAGCCATCCAGCACGACATGGCAGCGGGGGACGTGACAGCCCTCCACCCGACGGCTGAGGCCAGGAGTGGCTGGGGGGATGGGTGTGCAGGAGACTCACCTGGTAAACTTCTGCAGTTTAGACACAGATTCTGGGACAAACATGGGGATGGTCTTTTTGTGCCTGAAACAAACGTTTTCACAGACAGCTGTGCTGAGCCACGGAAAAGTGGCGGAGCCTTCTGAGCCTCCAGCGAGGGGTGGCCAAGTCGGAGCCAGAGCCCCGCCCCAGGGCTGCGTCCTCTGAGAGCCTTGTTTCTTTTGAAGGGTCAGGAGGATGCTGAGGGCTACAAACCAACCCTGGCTCAACTGTGCCCCTCACAGGGCCCTTGTCCTTCTCCAAATATCCCAGCGCGCTGCCATCCTCCAGGAACCCCGACAGTCCCCTGGACCGCACCCGGCTGTGGTCACCCGTCCCCCGTCCCCCTTCCCCTCGCACCCTGCACTTCCCATCTCAACACCCCTCAGGTTCGCCTGCTGGGCCTCCTCCCTCCACCTGCTCTGATGGCGTCCTCACCCCTTAGGGTCGGCTGACCCTGGCCACCCACCCCGCGCCTGGAACACGGTGCCTGTACCCTGTCACCATGCTTGACAAGAGAGCGCTGCGTCTCTCCATCTGTGCCCACTACTCGGGGGGGCCTGCCGAGGGCAGGTCCCGTGGTCACACGTGTCTGACACGTGTGTCCTCAGGCCAGCAGCGAGGGAATGAGTGTCTGAACTCCGACCCCAGCTGCCCCGGAACTCTGGCTGGACCCGCCCCTCTCGATGCCCCAGGACACCCCCTCCCAGGTGTGGGCCACGCCCCCACGCCAGGGACCCTCGCACTCCCCGCCTCAAGGTGAAGCATGCCCCGGGGTGAGCCTCGCGTGGCCCGGCGAGGGACCAGGTCGGAAGGAGGACCTACCGTCCGGGTGAGAAGGGCACGTGCACCGCCCCGTAGCCTCGGACCACGTCGTTCCCGAACATGTCCGGCCCATACACGCTAAGCACGATCTGCGGCCCTTGCGAACGACAAGGCAGGGGTCAGCCTGCGGGCAAGCCCAGGGGAGGTGCAGGGTGGAGAGCAGGGCGGCGGGCCCGGGAGCCCCCAGGTGTGGGCCTGCAGGGAGGTGGGAGAGCAGAGCCTGCTGGCTGGGCCCCCTGCTGCCCCGGTGCTGCCACTGGACAGGCCCAGGGAGTGCACAGGGACCCGGGGGTGTCTGCGTGTGGCTCAGGGAGGCCCCGCACCCCCTTCCTCTCGAGCACTGCCAGTTCCCACTGCTCCCTGTTGGCAGCTCCATTGGGGTACATCCTCGGGAGGTGGGGGGGCCCAGAGCCGGCCGGCCTGCCCAGCTTGGACCCGCGGCCACCGGACAGCCTGTTTCCTCGTCCTCCAGACGCCCGGGCTCGGGCCTGACGCAGAGGAAGTGCTCCCCGGTGCTGGGGGACGTCTGTTCCCTCCCCGTCACCGCCTCAAAGGTCATCACTCCTCTTCCGTAAGGTTTCACCGCCCAAGAACGCATCCCACACGTGGTCCTTTGGTTCTGCCCATGTTACGAACTTGTATGAGTGGAATCGTGTGGTAGGTAGATTCCCGCATCCAGCTTCTTGGATTCAGTGTTTATGAGACGCGTGCAAACGGAGTCACGTCTCCAGGGCAGGAGCACTCGGTCCTGTCTGGCGGCCACGGACGCCCGGGCTGTGTCTCCTTCTTGGGACAGCGCGACCTCTCGTCACACGCGCACCCATGTCTGCCCAGGCCGCGCATTCACTCGAGCTGCTTCCCTGGGGGCACCGCACCAGAGCTTGGCGTCCTCAAGCTTCCTAACTGGGCTGTTCTGGTCCTGAATCATGGCCGCTCGCTTTGGCTTTAATTTGCATTTTCCTAATTGTAACTGTTCTTCCTAAAATGAAGTTGAGACCTCGTCCTGTTTCTTGGTCACTTGGACGTCCTCTTTCGGGCGGTGCCTTGCTCGAGCCTCTTGCCCAGTTTACAACTGGATGGTCTCTTTTCACCCGTAATGATGTCTTTGGGTCACCAGAAGCCCTAAGTTTAACAGTGGAACGCGCAGATCTGCTCCTGTGAGGAGTCCTCATTCTGGTGCCACGGTTCCCGCCTGCGTGGAATCCTCCTTAAGCCGTCTCATCGTGCTCTTCACGTTTCCGTGCGTGTATCCATCTGGGATGGACTTTGTGTGCCTGATACAAAGCAGGGATCAGGCTGCACTTTTCTTCCTGCTTGTATCCAGCTGCCCCAGGACCACTTCTCAAGACCCCCTTCCCCTCCTGCTCTGCCCCTTTGTCATGAATCAGCTGCACATGTTCAGTTCTGCCCTGGGCTCCCTACAGATCTGTCTGTCCTGGTGCCAAAACTACTCTCGTGATTGTGCTTTAGAATCACAGCTTGATAGCTGGTAGAACAGGTTATGTTTGATATTACTGGAAAGAATTTATTTTTAAAATATCAATTTCTACTTTTTATAAAGAATAGAAAACACATTCTATTTTTATACAGAAAGCAACTGATTTTTTAAATAAATTTATTTACTTATTTATTTTTGGCTGCGTTGGGTCTTCGTTGTTGCATGCGGGCTTCTCTTGTTGCGGAGCACGGGCTCTAGGCGTGCGGGCTTCAGTAGTTGCAGCACGTGGGCTCAGTCGTTGTGGCTCGCCGGCTCTAGAGCGCATGCTCAGTAGTAGTGGTGCATGGGCTTAGCTGCTTCACGGCATGTGGGATCTTCTCGGACCGGGGATTGAACCTGTGTCCCCCGCGTTGGCAGGCGGATTCTTAACCACTGCGCCACCAGGGAAGCCCGCAACTGATTTTTGTATACTGATCTTATATTTGGCAGTCATGCCCCCTTATTAATAATTTACTGTAGGTTATTTTGGAAATGCTACATAATCATGTCACCTGTGAATAATGACAGGTGACATGATTCTAATTCTTATACCTTTGAATTGTACAATGTTGGTGGTCATGACAAGCATCCTGATCTGACAGAGAGATCTTTCAACATCTCACTAAGATAAGTGACGTCTGCTCTGAGTTTTGTGGATAGCCTTTATCAGATTAAGGAAGCTTCCCTCTACTCCTGGCTGGCTACAGGTCTGTCATGGACGCGTGTTGAATTTTATCACGTCTTCTCCATCGCTGGGGGTGATGGCGACTTGCTCTTTAACGTAGTGAGTCTCACCGGTTGACTTTAGATGTTGCACGAACTTCTTATTTCTGGATTAAGCCCTCCTTGCCCACGACAGATCACCCTTCTGGGGTCCTGTGAGGCGCAGTCTGTGGATGTTTGGCACCACGTCCAGGGCGGGGATGAGGGCACCCGGGCCGCAGGCCAGGGCGGGCTGTTCTCTCAGAGCTCTGAGGTGGCAGGATCTTCCTGGCTCCTGGGTCCCCAGCCCAGAGCGGCCGACAAAAGTCTCGGTCAGCATCTCGATCACCTCTGCTGGAATCAGCAGATACTCCCAGGGGAGCTGTGGCTGGGGGCGTCTCTGGAGCTCTGCTTTTTTCCTGGGTCTTGGCCTCCTAAAGCGCCACGACTTTGCTAGCTGTCTGATGCCTTCAGGTAGTCTGTTTTCTGGTTTTGCTTTTTAATATTTTATTCACCTTTCCTAGCCGTCGTCAGCAGGAGGAGATTGGTCCTTTATCTAGTGCCCTGTTCCAGGAAGCCTGTGGAAGTTTCTCATGGATGATGACAACAGGATGGCAGTCCCCGCCCAGGAGGACAGCCAGGCAGTCTCTGCTCCAGACCCTCTGTGCCCGGTAAGCCTGAGCCCCCGCCACACGCAGCATAAGGCCTGGACCGTGAAATCAGATGGACCTGAAATCAAATCCATGCTCAGCTACTCAAGGTAAAGCTGAAGGCAAATGATGTCACTTTTTGAGTCTCAGTTTCCTAGACGTGGAGAAGAATCTACCTACCAGATAGGGTTACAAAGCCTGGCCAAGCCCACATAGGGAGAGTATTCATGGCCCCTGTGGAGCGAACCCCAGGCTTTGCACACAGTTGGCGCTTATTAAGTGAGAGTGACTGGTAACTGCCAGGTAAGGTAGAAAGCAAACACTGCAGACACTGCAGGTGAGGAGGGCTTTGGGAAGGTCAGAGGTAGGATGAGGGCCAGGGCCCCGGGCAGAGAGAAGGGCAGGGACTTGCAGGAGGAGCAGGGCGCTCGGGTCTGCAGAAGCACAGCTGTGACGGACAGGGGAGAGCTGTCAGGGCAGGCCTCCTGGCCAGACTGCTGAGCCAGGCTCTGCCCTTTGCAGGCAGGCGCCACCCAAGGTTTCAGGCCGGGCCTCACCGGCTCTGTCAGAACCTCAGGAAGGTCAAGTGCACACAGATGAGCAGGAAGGGGGCGGGGAGCAGGGGGAAATGGCCAGGTGGCTGAGAGCACGTGACAAGGCTGGTCGAGGGCCCAGGGGATGGGCAGGGAAGGTCCATGTGTGGACACGGGGGCAGGACGAGGCCCGTGGACTCACAGCCGTAGGGGTTGGTGCTCTTAAAGGTGACGTCGATGGGGAAGTTCCACACCAGCGCGCGCCGCGCATCCTGGCTCTTGGATGTGATCTGTGAGATGCCCTCCTCCAGCCCCTGCGAGGACGACAGTGACGGCCAATGTCCCAGTTCCACGCCCCTCCCCTCCCTGGGCAGCAGCTGGGAGAGCTGTTTCCTTCACCACCTTCTGCCAAACGAAGGGACCTGAGACGTAATGGAGGGGCTCCCAGGTGTTTGAGGGTTTTCATCCATGAGGGCCTGGAACCTCGAGGCCCCAGCCCTCCCCCGGTGCCCGAGCTCCACCTGCGCCTCAGCCTCACTGAGGGGACGGTGTCGCCCTCTCCCCTGTCACCATCGGCACGTGTGTGCGTGTCACTTTCTTGGTTACAAAGCAACGTCCCTTGGCCCTACGCCCCCCACCCCTTTGTTCCCAGCCAAGCTTCTTAAAAGACATGTCGACACTCACCAGCTCCAATTCCTTCTCACTTTGCATCCCTGAACCCACCCCAATCTGACCTCTGGCCCCCACTCTACCAAAGTGTTTCTGTCAAGTCACCAGTGGCTCGGCTGGCTGTGATGTGGTCCCTTCTCTGTCCCCATTTCACTGGCCCCCCACCTCCCGGGTCAAACACGCCTCAGGGCCTTTGCACACTCCGCACCTTCTGCCTGCCTAGTTCTTTCCACAGCCTTCCACGCGGCTTGTCCCCTCGCCTCCTTCAGCTCTGTGCTCGGCTACCGTCTCCATGAGGACTTTCTGGCCTCTCATCCCTCCCTTTCTTGCCTCTGCTTTCCCCCAGCGTGTCACCAGCCAACAGCCTGGAGTGTTTACTGCCCCGTGTCTGTCTCCCCCTCAAGACGTGCACCCAGCAAGACCGGGGCTTCCCTGGCTCTGTTCACCACTGCGTCCCCATCACCAAGAGACTCGGCACCTATCGCCTAGCGGGCGCCTGGAGGATAAGCGCTGTGGTCTCAGCTGCACAGGGGAGGGACCAGGCTCCGAGCGGCTGTGAGGGTCGCCCCAGTGCCGCGCAGGCAGTAACGTGGTGCGGGCTGAAGAGGCACCATCGTCCCCCTCCTGGTGGAGACAGACCATTCCTCGGGGACTCTTGGAAGGAGGGTTCCAGAGTCTCCCCACAGGCTGAGGAGACCGGCAGTGCAGTGAAAGGACCTGCCCACCGCGCTGCCCAAACATCCCTACTTGCTGCCACGCGCCAGCTCCCAGGACAGGGCGCGCGAGCGAGCACGGCCTCGGGGGTGGGTCAGGGAGCACCGCGGCGCTGCGTTCTCTGCCCCGGCTTCACCAGGAGCAGACTCGCGTGCGGGTCCCCCCTGAACTCAGCGTCCACCTCTCAACTGGTTCTGAACTGGGAGGGTAACGGGTGTGATGGAGCCTTCAGAGACCCCCCCCCCGGTCACGAAGGCCGTGAGTCTGGGAGGCCAAAGGGCCCAGCTTACCGCCGTGGGGGCCCAGTCCTGGCCATACACGAAACAGTACTTGCAGTAGAGATCGTCATACTCAGGAAACTGTGGAGATAAGCATACACGGCTTCTGCTCACAGGGACTCACGCTGAGACCGACTGCTGGCCAGGCAGGGGCGGCCACCAGTAACTCCGAACGTGAGGCACCTGGTGAGGGCGGGCGGGGGCCAAGAGACAGCAGGGGGTGTGGACGTGGCGTTCAGCGGAGGGTCTGGGGCCGCTACCGCCCCTGGGCCTTTGCTCAGGCTCTGCCTTCTGTATGACATACCCTTCCCATTCCTTCACCTGGAGTTTTCCTGGTCACCCTTCAAAACTGATCCTTCAGGGAGCCTGCCCTAACTTCCGGGCCGTCCTGGGGGGCCACTTCCTAGCTCCTGCAGCCCCTGGTGCTTCCCTCCATCACAGCACTGACTGTTTATTTCTCTCAACCCCATTAGACTGTGAACAAGGGACAGGTGTGTGAGCTTTCTGTGTCCCCAGCACCTGGCACAGGGGCAGGCACAGGAGCAGCTCTAAGGAAATGGTGCTGAAGTGAAAGGTCTGAGAAGGCAGGGTGCTGTTAGGACACACAGAGCAACATATGCTTGGCCTGCTAGAGGAGGGGCCCCGAGCAGAGGGGGAGGAAAAGTGGGGATGAGGGGGCTGCTGAGAGCACAGACACATGTGACCCAGCCCAGCTGAGGCCCCTGATGGGACACAGCAGAAGAGGGGAAGCGGGTCTTGGGCACTGGGTCAAGGGGGAGGTGGACAGAGTGGGAGACTGGGGCAGCGTCCCTGATGAAACAGGAAGGCGGGAGATGCCCACTAAGAGGCCCCAGCAGAGCTTTACCTAAACCATCTCAGTTAGTCCTCACAATATACTCATAATATTTTTAAAACAGCCTGGAAGGGCAAGTCCAGCAAAGCTCTGACATCAGACCAGGTTTCAAATTCCAGTTCTGCCACTGCTTTTGGGCAAGTTTTCCCATCTGTAAAATGAGGGTGCCAGTAATACCTACTTCACAGGTTGTTGTGAGGATTGACTGAGCGGGGCTGGGCATGGAGGCTGGCATATACTATGTCTTATACACAGAAATAACAAACGGTTCGTAGGACGTGCTGGGGACTGGAGGGTAGCGTCCCCTTCCGTCCAACAGACACCGCCCCCCCCCCCCCCCCCCCCGACCGGGGCAGCCGCCACCATCGCTGCATCAGATCAAGCAGATCACCTCCCTTCCAACCCGCGCCTGAGGGCCTGAGAGTCGAGGGCGCGGGGCCTCGCTGCGCACGGACCCGCGCGGGTCGCGTGGGGTGGAGGCCCCTGCCCGTGACTCCACGCGGGCTCGGCCGACTGTGGCCTCGGCCTCGCTCAACCCCCCAGGCCTGTTTCCACACCGCACATGGGGCGGAGGGTTCGCGCGACCTCGCACCAAGCCTCTTACACGCTGGCTCCCTCCGGCGAGGCTCGGCCCTGGGGGGACGGGTGCGGCCCCGCGGGGTCCACGGCCGCTCACCTGGGCGCTCTCCACCTGCCCGTTGACCATGAGCAGGAAGACGCTGGGACCCGCAGCCGCCATAGCAGGGCTGCGCGGTTGCTAGGAGGAGCCGGGTTGCCCTGGAGACGGACGGCGTGGCGCGCGGGACAAGTTTCTGGGAAGTGGGATCTTCGGAAAAGCGAGCGCATGCGTGCGGCGGCGCGGCGGGAGACGGGGCTTCGCGGGGACCGGCGGCGCGAAATCCGCGGCTATATCGTGTCTGTTGGTGCGGGACCCAGCACATCCCTGGTTCAGGTTACCCCACGGGAAGTATGTGTCCACTCAGACCCGGCCCCACCAGGCCCGTGGGAGGTCTTAAGCCGGAGGCGACGACCACCGCGCGTGGGGCTCAAGAGCGAGGCCCCCGACAGTCGGGGTCCGGCCCCGGTTCCGAGAGTCCGCGTGGGACCAGCAGCTGCCTGCGTGGGGTCAACGGATGCTCCCTCGGGCCTTCTGAGACCCTCGCCTCCCAAAAGTTTATTAGACAAACCTGGGAGGGACCTGGAGAATCCTTAAACCCGCGCCGGCGCTCCTCCGCGTGGGGCGGGAAACAGGTTGCGGAGGGGCCGCCCCCGGCCGCCCGAGCACCCCCAGTCGCTGAGGGGCGAGCCCGAGCGCGGCCCCGCCAGGACACTGGCCTCAGGACGTCACTGCCTGGCCGCCGGAGCGGGTCGTCCGCCTGCTCTTAGCTCTGAGCACGGTTCGCATTTGCACATTTATTACTGTCACAGCTCCGGCCAATGCTCGTCTCTCCCGACCCACAGACGCCGTGAGGACAGGGGCCGCGCCCACCCCGTGTCCCGGTTGCCTGGCACAAGTGAGCACTGGTGGCAGCCTGTGGAGTGGATGAATAATTGAGTAAGTCTCTGTTGCACAAAAGAGGAAGCAGGTTCAGAGGCGAGGTGACTGGGACACAGTCACAGCAGCTGGTAAGGAGCTGAGCCGGGATTCAAACCCAGGACTCCGCGGGCTCGCGACCCTCACTGCTTCATTGCCTGGTCCTGGCCCAGCGCCAAGGGTGCCTCTTGGCTGGGGTGTCAAAGGTGGCGTTGGAGACCGTACCCCGGATCCAGAAAATGAAGGGGTGGACAGGTGTGAAGACTTCAAGGACGCTGCGCACCCAGCAGGGCCCCCGGGTCATCACACCCTGCAGCAACCAGCTGCCAGCTTGGGAGCAGACCAGGGGGGTCCCACGAGACACCTGTGCGGGAGAGGGAAGGAAGAGTCACAGCCAGCCCGGGCCCACCGACCATCCCCCCACCCGCCTCAGGTGAGCAAAGATACTTGACAGGGGAGGGGGCTTGGGCAGCCAGTGTTCACACCTCTGACAAGAGAGGCTGAGGCCGGGTGGGTGGGCCGGGGCCTCAGGTGGGAGTTGGCCTCCCCCAGGCCTTGGCCGTATCCCGTCCCCCACCCCTCACACCCTCCCAGGTACAATGCGTCTTCACAGATGCTACCACTCTCGCCCAGCTCTTTCCTCCTTGTGGCACAGTATTACACAAAGGACAGTTTTCAACAAAACGGTTGCTATTATCAAATAACCAGGGGCTCCCCGTAACCGCAGACCTGGCCATGTCCAAGGCTGCCCCACATCCGTACAGAACCTAAAGGGGGAGTCTCCCCAGGGGGCGGGGTCTCTGGGATGGCCATCAGGGTGCGGATCAGTGGCCCCCCGGGAGTGTGAGAGGTGACCAGGCCTAGTGGCCTTAGGAGGGACCGTGGGGACGGGTGGGGCACCTTTCGGGGCCTGTGCAGGACCAGGCTGGAACCCGCACCGCCAGGTGGGGTGGGCTGGCGTGGGGTCTGGCTCACTGGGCGCCCTTGGGCAGGCTGGCCTTCGGGTCAGGACAGTCAGCCTGGAGGCGGGAGGCGTCTCGGCTGGTGCTGGCCTGCAGCAGCCTCAGCGCGATGCTGCACAGCTCTGGGGGCGGGATATAGAGGTCTGCGAGGTGGGGCGGGAGGGGACCCTCAGCAGGTTGGCACCAGTCCAGCCGCAAAACTTCCTGCCCTCCTGGGCATCCAGTTCTCCCCGTCCTCTCTTAGTGGACCCCCAAGTCCCTCAGCGCAGCTCCGTCGTGTCATCCGTTGGACTCTCACAGTCTCCCCAGGGCCACACCCAGTGAAACTGGGGACACACTGCGGCCCAAGGGAGGCGGCGGGGAGAGGGCCCAGGGCTGCCCTCCAGGCTGGGTGGGTCTGGAAGCTGACCCGGGCGGGCGTAGCAGGCGCCAGTGCCACCCTCTGCCCCGAGGCCCGTGTCCACGTGCCAGCCAGCAGCAGGCCAGAGCCGGGCTGTGCTCGGGGCTCAGGGACTCCGGGCATTTCCGGCTGTGCAGGGCCCCAGCTCCATCCCAGATGTCTGCCCGGCCCACCCTCAGCTATCTCAGGCATCTGCTCCCGTCCTTAGCGAAGACAGGATCAAACCCCTGCGCCCAACAGGGCTGCCCCTGGAAAAAACGCCAGGACCGGGTAGCCAGAGGGACAGGCTGAACAGCACTGCTGAGAGGTGGTGGCCTTGCCAGCCGGGCCAGGACGAGGCCCCCAGGCCCTCCTGGGGACAGGAGCAGCTCCTCCACGCTGGACTTGCTCTCACAAGCGTCCAGCGCCAGTCAGTGTGGGCCCAGGGTCACGCTGAAGTGGGACTGGGGCAGCTGTGGAAAGCGGGGGGTGAAGAGGTTGGGCGCCCCCTCCTGGGTCCCCTCTCCATCACCCTTCCTGGCTGCTGCACCCACCTGCCAAAGCAGTTGGCACCTGTGAGTACCCACTCTTGGGAGATGAGGGCCCCCTCGCAGAGGTACCGGCTGTCCAGAGAGATGCCGGCCTGCCAAGGCCGCGTGGCTGGGCCCTCTCTGTGGTGGGCGTTTGCCGGCCTGGGCCCTGCACCCTGGGGAATGAGGCGTCACAGCTGAGCTCTGGTCCCAGAGTGCTGACGTCTGCTCTCTGTCCCCCACTGATCGTGATCTCCTCTCCCCATCCCTCGATCCCTCGATCCCAATCTGCCCCGGGGGAGGTTTCCTCCCTTTTCCTGCCCAGACACTCATTATAGGTGTGTGCCCAGCTCTGTTTGCATTTCCCTTGAGACAGGGTTGGCTGGCTACTGACTAAGGCAGCTGGGCTCCTAGCACGCTGCCGTTAGCTTGGTTCCACCCTCGCGCAGGCCCCCTGCCACCTGCCACCATCTCTGCCCTGCACAGCTGCCCGTTACTTGAACCCAAGTCTGGACTGCCAGTCTTAGGAGAGCCTGGACTCCCGGCCCTCAAGGGGTGGGTGTCCCCCCTGCCCGCAGCTCCCTGTCAGCCCAGGCCCGCAGCAGCCGCTCCCCACCACCGCCCTGAGGCCCAGGTTGGAGCAAAGGGGAGCTGGCCTGGGCAAGAGGAAGCGGCGCCCCTGCGGCGCGGGGGATCCCCTAGCTCCGCCCTGCCCCCCATCTCAGGTGAGAAGCAGAGGCCAGCGGCGCCGCCAGCACCCACGGTCATCCTCCCCTCCGCCACCGCACACCCCAGGGAGCTCTGCGGCACCCACGTCATAGCGACTCTGCGACAGCAGTGCTGCTCCTCCTGCAGGCGGGAGGCCGGGCTTCCCAGGGCCGTGGGGAGTAGCGGCAGGGCTGTGCGATCTAACCGGGGTCCCTTCCTCTCACATACCTCTTAGGTCTTCCTTCCCAACCCACCTCACAGCTCTCAGTGGAGCTCGGTGCAGAAGGGGGCACAGGCCAGGCCCACAGCTGAATGTCACCGGGGACAAAGTCCAGGTCCTCTGTGGCCTGTCGGGTCCCTCTGGCCCCCCTGCCGCTGCCTGCATCCCCCACCCCTCAGCCTTGCAGTACTGGATGCCCGCACACATACACCACCTTCTTTCTTTATTTCTTTTTCTATAAATTTATTTATTTTTGGCTGTGTTGGGTCTGCGTTGCTGCGTGCGGGCTTTCTCTAGTTGCAGCAAACGGGGGCTACTCTTGGTTGTGGTGCACGGGCTTCCCATTGCGGTGGCTTCTCTTGTTGCGGAGCATGGGCTCTAGGCACATAGGCTTCAGTAGTTGCGGCACATGGGCTCAGTAGTTGTGGCGCACGGGCTTAGTTGCTCCGCGGCATGTGGGATCTTCCCAGACCAGGGCTCGAACCCATGTGCCCTGCATTAGCAGGCAGATTCTTAACCACTGCGCCACAAGGCAAGTCCCCAACTTCTTTAAAGTTACAAGTGCCTCCTTTGTATTGAGGTAGAATTCACAGAACTTCAAACCAACCCCTTTTAAGGGCATAATTCAGTGTATCACGGTATCTTTGCACGTGCTGTTCCTTCCACCCTTTCCACCTGACCTTCCTGTTGAACTTAGAGTTCCAGATGACCATCCTGTCCTCCAGACAAGCCCTCGTTGGGCAGGGGCGTTCTCCACCATGGAGGGGCTGTGGCCTGACCGGGTCTCCTGGACCACACTCAAACTCCCCGAGCGCCCATTCAGTAAGCACTTGTCGAATGACTGTGTGAGTGAGTGAACAAGTGAGCGGAGGACTTTGGGGGGTGCTGGCGCTGGAACCTTGTGGGCCAGGGCTGAGGCTCTAGAGTCGGGCAGGAGGGGACCCCAGCTTCTAGCAGCACAACAGAATCACCCAGTCTGGGTCG